TAGCGTGTTATCATTGAATAGAAGGAGAACAGGAGAAGAAGGAGCAGGAGGAGGCCCGACAACACTTAAGTGGACTATAAACGGTAACAAATGCAAATGCAAATGAAATTATTGTCAGTCAACGCAGGGCAGGGCTCCATTCCGCTCAACGGACAACGAGAGAAGCGCCGCTGGTAAAGGTGTTTGCATATGCAGGAGCACATTGCGGCCATAAACCGTGGTTCGACCACGCCCAAGCCACAGCCACTGACCGGCCGGCCGGTCGGGGAGAGAGCGAGAGCGAGAGCGAGCGCGAGAGCGAGAGCTACGACCCCATAAAGCCACTGGCAGCCGACTGCATTTCAGCGATATAAATATTTATATAAGTTAATCGGTTTATGGTGCACGAGTAATTGAATTTCGCGACGGCACCAGGTAAATGCTACCAGGTAACATGTTCCAGGGCACACTCCTCAATGGTGGTATCTGCCAGCGTCCATCCTACTGCGTCCCAGCCTCCATCCTCCGATTCATTCGGATCCATGTTTAAACTTGATTTCTTACTTTTTACATCCGTTGGTGAGTTGGCTGCAGCATGTGCACCACGGGTTTATGGTTACCACTTTTGAAGGTACATACGACTGTGACCCATATTAAGAGCAGGCTGAACCATCAGCTTCTATTCTTCAAACAAGAAGCCTTGACAATATTTGGAGGTCTTTTAAATTGGATTGATTCCAGCCAAAGCAGAAGCAGCCCTCTAGCTGACACTACAAACAGAGCCAGAGTAGCGGGCTGCCACTGCAACTCCCCGCATCCGACAAGCTCCAACATGGCGCCAACCGGAAGTGCCAGCCCGTTCAGCAATGGCCAACACTGAGCTCCGTTTCTATGGCACTTCCGCTTTACTGCACATTAATTGCAATTAAATTTGGAATTACAACCATCACCCACTCCACCCTCTCCTCTCTCTCTCTCTCCCTCTCCCTCTGCATCTTGTAACCTCTGCTTTCCCCTCTCTTTCGTGTAACCACTCTCCGTTGATCGTTGCTCTCTTTCCACGCAAAATTTAATGATGGCTGCAATTTTTGTTCGTTGCACTTTCCTCTTTTTTGCATAATTTAAAAATGTTTGCTTTGGCTGCCGTTGCCGCTTCCTCTGTTGCTGTTGCTGTTGCTCTTTCAGTGGATGCTGCCCGGGCATGGTGTAACTGTGGTGGGGGAGGAGGGTTGCATGGCAATGGCCCTATTTGACGTCGACTCTGTTGCTACCACAACCGCTTCTGTTCTGTTGCTGCCACTCTGGCACAGCCTCGGATATTGTTGTTTTCAATTAACTGTGCGTCTAACTAAATGGCAAGTAAATTAATGTTTATAGTGCATAAATATGCAATTTATATGCACTTTCCCACCACACACACATATCCATCCCCCTCTTCTCTCTTCTCTCTTCATGACGTCATGTGCCTTGCTGATTTTGATGGCGTTGTTTCGGTTGAATTGAGCGTAAATGTTAACAAGTTATTTGAGTTATGAACGCAAACAGCGTATAATATTTAATTAAGCTTGCAGCCTGAGTGAGGCGGGAGGACCCAAAATGTAAATTAATAAAATAAAATTGTAGATTTCTGATTTCTGATTGCCTCGCCCGCGGGTGGGAGTGGTAGACCGTAAACATTTACAGCCGGACGTGGAGGCAAAAGTTGCCAGCCCTTGAAGGACACGAAGAGTCACCATCTTGTGGTGACTCCTGCTCTCCTGCTCTGTTCCTGTTGTTGCCAAAACTTTAATTGCCTTTCGGGCCAGAAACTTTACAAAATCTGCGCTATGCATTTTGCTAACATTTCCGGTGACTTCTCGCTGGTGGGGCTCTGCCTTAGCCATAGCACAGCATAGACAAGTCTGCCTGCTGCCACTCTACATGCAAGACTGCCTCTTGCCCCTGCCCCAATGCACTCTTTATCCTTTCAAACTCCATTGGCTGGTTGCTGGTTGTTGCGATTGTCGTTGTCCCCTTCGCTTTGTATGCCCTTTTAATTGCCCATTGAAAGTTGTTCACTTGTTAAAGTGAACTTTTCCCCCTGCCAAGTTGCCAGTTGCTAGTGAAGTGAAGTCAAGTGTAAGCAACAACAAGCGTGAAAGTGGTATGTGTTATGTGTTATGCAATTAATAGCACAACAATCGATAGCGATTCAATTGCTCGACAACAAACCAATTTGCAGCAGCCTATTTAAGGATCAGGATATTGTCGGGTAGCGGGTCCGACCGCAGCTGCTCGTAATGAGTTTTCCATGCATACGAGCGACAGTTGAGACAGATTTCTCGCAGCTAACATTATGTGACAGCTGAAGACAGAAATCATTCCATTTCCCACAAGCTTCTGCGAGGGTCTAACCCACTCCTTTACCAGTCCAAGAACGCCACAGAGGGCCGCAGAGCAGACAGCATGAAAATTATGTTGCATAGTTATGTGGAATGGGGGGGAGCTCCACCAAGTGCAAAGACTCGTAAACATATTCGTACGTATACTCGTGCGTTACTCATGGATTCCTTTATTTTTTTCAGACTTGTTGTGGCTTTCCCCTCCCCACTCCTTCCCCTTGTCTTTGCTTGTTGTCTGCTGGTGACTGGCAGGGCAGCAACAATATATTTTTCTGATTTTCCACTTGCATTATCACGTCTAAAAACTGTCTACCATTAAAACATGTGTATTGTGTGCATTGTCTGCTCAGTCCAGCGGGCATTTTCGGTTTCGTCTAGTCTCATGGCGGGGCGCAGGAAATTCAGGCAATATATAAACATAATTTAGGAGCGAATCCAAGCAAGGGAAACCCTACCGAAGCGGTTGCCATGGAAAATTGTATAAATTACGAGCTATGTGTGTGGCTGTGTGTGTGTGTGTGTGTGTGTGTGTGCTGGGGGAATTTCTAAGCTGACTGAACTGAACCACTGGGGAGGAGACTCGAGAATGTGCAACACATTTGAACAAAAGTTCAGTGGCTTCGCCGTCGCCTTCGCCCCATGAGAGCAATGAAAAGATGAGCTAAATGTATTTGGAAAACAAATATTCCTTTCAACTGCATCTGAAAGGTGAAAGGTGGGCGCTGTAGTGGGTGTGTGCACGCTTGTCCCCGGTCGACCAATTCTTAATTTACAAGTCGATAAATGACTATTGTTTAGAGTTATTTCTTAATCACATCTATGGGATGCTCAACCACTCCTAAACAACCTCAAGCTAAGAAGAACACAATTAGTTGTGGTGTAATTACAATCGAGTCGCAATTTCATATCGAGGCAAATGAACCGAAAACGGTTCGAATTAGCTATTCACTCTGTGGTTTCAACCGCTTGAGTTCGGCCCTTTAACTAAACTGATTTCCCATTCATTTAATCGCAGCCGCTTAAGGAGAGCAGAACGAACCGAACCCAAGTCGATAAATAACCCTTGCCGAAAGTGATACAATCCGGCCCAATCCGAACCCTCTGCATTTGCGGCTATGATACGGCATCACGAGTGGCGTCTTTCGTTGGCACACATCCCCGGAGTACCAGTTTCCCGTCCGCTCCCATTGACGTGCCCCATTAATTAAGTTTGTGCTGCTGTGCGTGCAGATAAGATGCAGTGCCGCCGCAAACTCCAAGGCTCCGCACTGAACCCCTTTCCTGCTCGTGCAATTGACTTAATAATTGGCCCCAAACATTTTAATGAGCAGCTGCCTGTCACCGTCACGTTTTCCGGAACGGAACGATGTCGGAGAAGACGGAGATGGAGATATTGCACAATGTTTGCAAGAAATGGCATTGGCATAATTAAGATGATGGGAATGCTCAGGGTTTGCTCAGGGTTGAGGCTCAGGCGGGGATCCGGGGAATGGCCCACTTCTCGAGACGGGATCCGCATATAATGTCATCTGAGTGAGGCGGAAATTTGAATGCCAAGAGTGTGCTAATGTTAATATGATATGCAGCAGGAAATACAAGCATCATCCGAGCATTTCCATGTGCTCGCCCCGGCTCCATTAAATTCCAATGCACAAACATTGCGCATACGACGTGTATGCTTGTGCTTGTGCTTGTGCAGCAAGCCAGGTGACAGATGCAGCATGGCCACACCACACCTCTTTCGTACGCCCACACTCACCCTCACCTTAGCCATGTGCGTCAACACCTGAGCAACCAGAGCCAAGCAAGACATCTGGGATCTGCCTCTCCATTCGCTCTCCACTCCCCATTCCCCACTCACCACTCTTCGGGCACGTCTGGCGGCCTTTCACACGCCAGTCAAACGTTACTCGGCTCTGGTAGCCCCCCGCGTCACTTGCCCCTGCCTAGCTGCCTTCGTTCGGCTGTGGCACGTAATGACATGCGGCTGCCAATGTTGTGGACGCGCATTCAGCAGCGAGCATCGCCGGCATCTCCAGTGCCTTGCATAATTTATACAACCCACCCAAGCCGCCAAAAAAACCGCAAATCTCGCAGCGCTTCGTTGCACACATTGCAGCATCAGTGGCAACACCAACAACACTGGCAACAGCAGCGCATGCATGCCTCAGCTCAGCCACGTTGAAGCTTGAGGGACCGCTTAAAGTAGCCATTGTCACTGGCATGACAACGACATATTGATGGTTATCCGACCTATAGCGAAAGTAGTTCCCTCTAAGAGATGGGTGCGAGCTGTCAGGCGTTTTACCTCAATTTATAATAGGTTCAAGAGTTCGCATTAGTTTTCAGTTAAATAAATGTGCACTTAACAAATATGCATCACCATGTAAGCAAGACATTATTCATGTTAATGTTTATTTATTAAATGAATCGCTGTAGTCTGGCAATGAAAGGGAATAATTAATTGAATGGAAACGGCTCGATATTGGATATTGGATTCACTTATACTGAGTTGACTACTGACGTATAGTATTACGACTGCCTACTGGGCCTCTTCTGCTCTCCAACTCTTCTGCCAACTGAGTCACTCCTTGCATGCATGCAAATTTCTATCTATTATTGCATTCAAAAATGAACAGCTTCACAAATGCTCGTTTTATTTACATAAATATTGTATGTATTATTATTTATAAATAGTTTTAATTAATAAATCGAATGTGTTTACATCTTTAGTATAAGTCGGAACAATTTCACCACACGAAAAACCCTGAAAGCCTAACTGAATACCTAATGGAAAATGACATTGGTCAGTTATTATAAATATATGTGTGTTGATGGGATTCCATTACTCCTACAACTTCAACTCTGCAAACGTTTGCGGCAATCGGTCGCTCAGTTGTGCCTTGAGTTTGGCGGGCAGTCCCAATTCATCAGCAATCGCCAGATACTGACCATAAGGCAGCGAAGTCAATGCCGATTCCGATGTTAACTCAAAGCGTTTGGGAAACCCGGGGGACGTGACCCACTTGGCCAGCTCAAGTTCCAGGGTCCAGCATGCAGCCAAATCCTTGTAGTAGCCCTCCCGCAGGGCATCAACCTTCTGCAACTGTACCAAGTGGTCCAGGCTTCTCTCGTGGTTGGCGGTAACATCGATGGCTCGCATTAGGAGGGCACTGGTCAGGAGGGTCCACTTGCTGTCGGGCTCGTACTCCAGGAGATCGTAGCAGGACTTCAGCTGCGTCTGGAGTTCCTCGAAAAGCTCCTTGCTGCAGCTGGAGGCGGCATGGGGCGGCACAAAGTAGAAGGTACCGTCGCCAGTGGGCAGAGGCGAGAGTTTGATCTCCTGCTCAGCCAGCTTCAAGTAGTAGGATGCATCCTTTTGGTAGTCAATCGATGTCTGGGTTCTCCAGGTGGTCCTTTTGCTGTCCGCAGGCTGCCAGGATTCCAACTTCAATGAACGCTCGTTGCTTGCAAGCTCAACCTTGAACTGTTCGAAGTCTGGACAGGGTTTGTTGAATGCTACTACTGCTCCAGTTGCTCCCATGCGAAAGGCAACCACCTTGGGGGCCTGGTCCACTTGGGCACCACCGCCCAGCAGCCAGCGCTGGTAGAACCAGGCACTGCTGTCGTTGGGATCTGTAAAGGCGGCGGTGAGCACCATCTCCAGCTCCTCCTGTAGCTTCTCCTCGCTCATGGGTCGGTCGCGCTGCTCGTTGGGGTAGAGCTTCGGCAGCAGGAGGCTTCGGTGATGCCAGCTGGAATAGTTGGAAAAGTTAACCTTGATCTTCTCAGTGCAAAAGTCCAGCTCCTGCTCGGCAGGCACGCCCGCCTTGGCGGTCACATAGCGCCGGTAGTCCCAGGTGTGAAAATTTCGCTCATCGTATTTCAGATACTTGTTGCAGAGCTGCACTTCCCGCTCCCAGTCTGCCTGGGGATTCTGCTCCAGTGTCCAGCAGCGATGATGCCAGGCATTGTACGACTTGGGATTGACCATTAGACACTGTTCTGTGAGGGTCAGCTCTTGGCCGTACACTGACTGCAGTTTATCCTCCTGTTCCACAGGCTTTGCCGCCGACTCTGCTTCCGCCTGCAGCTCGTCTGACTTGCTGGACTCTGTCGCTGGCTCTGCCAGCTGCTTGATCTTCTCCAGCACACACTCCCGACGAATGTTCCACAGCGTGCTCACGTCCGGATTGCGATGCAGGATTTGCACAGTCAGGCCGAGCATTTCGTCATCGAGTTCACCTGCATCGCGCTTCTTGAGTATCCGTCCCATGGCCGCCCGGTAGGCCCTCACCTTGAGCGCGTGCTCCTTCTTCTTGCGCTCTCGCTCCTCCTCGGTGGTGCGTACTTTCACACGTCCATGCATCGTATTTTGTTAGCAAATTTGCAAAAAATTGAATATTAATAATAAAGTGACTAGTGTGACCGCGGAGCTATTGATTAAATATACCAAAATATACAATTTCTTTTAAACCATATACCGTAAATATACCGTTGTCTTAAATCATATTGCTCGATGTTGATGTTCTATTTGATATTACTTGCTTGCAAAGACTTTTAACACTTCAACAATAATTTAATCTATTTGAATAATCAATTTATCATATTAAAAATACTCGTTTTATTAAATTGTATACTTTATGACCCTATATTTTACAAATTTGTATTGGAGTTTTTCATTCAAATCAACCCTTCTGGGAGCTTTGTCTTCAGTATGTAAATGTATGTAAATTATTAAAAGAGACACATGTATGTTAAGCTGATAACATTGAAAAATTTTAAATATAGCGATCGCAATACAGGGTGATAAAGAAACATAAGTAAATATTATCAGCTGGTTGGTGGCCACTTCTTCTATCGTCACAACTAATTACTCCTTTCATTTGCTAAGGAACACTCGATAATGATGAAAAAATCATCATTATCGTCTAACTAATCACAAATTTCTTTGATTTTCTTTCTTTTCTTTTATTTGAATATACTCTCACCTACAACAGATGGACCTCGACGGAGGCTCCAGCCCATCAACATGGTACCTGTCTCAAAAATTGATACCCCTGTGCATCTAACTTCGGACTCAGTTGCCAGTGATGTCACCCACAACAGCTATAAACAACTATAAACAATAAATATTAATCTATTAACCATATTATATTAATATATTTTTATTCAGTTAAAAGAAAATTTCGGTGGTCCGTCGATCCCGTCATCACTCACACTGCAACGTGATACCATACATTTATCCTGACATTAAAATCCAATCGGCTTCCTCTAGCCACATACAAATGTTGCTCAAACTGAAATGATTGTATACTTTTCAGATGCAATATTAAACTCTTATCCACGCCTTGAATAGAATCTTAAGAGAATACTTATACTAGAATACTTAAGACTTTTAAGGTGAGTCGACTGGCGCCAAAGTTCCTAAAATTGCCGTCAGAGTTCCTAAAATCGCCGTAAACATTTTTGCGTTTTAATTGTTTCTGGCATGGAAAATTTGCGCGGATGCTCCGTTACGAGACTGCATGAAAGACGCATCTATAAATAGCTGCACTTGTCGATATTGATTGTACCCTTTTACCTTATTGCTATCCAGAGCAGGTTACCCATTGAAAGGGGTCCCCTTTCACAATACGGGTCAGACTATTGTGGAGTTGTTTTTGATTAACTGGTGAAATGATTTTACTGCCTGAAAACGTATACTATATAAGCCCCGAAACCCGATCGATCCAACAGTTCAAATCGAACATTCAATCCGAGTCTTTTAAGAATGAAGTTCATTTTGGTTTTGGCTNTTCTTTCTTTTCTTTTATTTGAATATACTCTCACCTACAACAGATGGACCTCGACGGAGGCTCCAGCCCATCAACATGGTACCTGTCTCAAAAATTGATACCCCTGTGCATCTAACTTCGGACTCAGTTGCCAGTGATGTCACCCACAACAGCTATAAACAACTATAAACAATAAATATTAATCTATTAATATATTTATATTCAGTTAAAAGAAAATTTCGGTGGTCCGTCGATCCCGTCATCACTCACACTGCAACGTGATACCATACATTTATCCTGACATTAAAATCCAATCGGCTTCCTCTAGCCACATACAAATGTTGCTCAAACTGAAATGATTGTATACTTTTCAGATGCAATATTAAACTCTTATCCACGCCTTGAATAGAATCTTAAGAGAATACTTATACTAGAATACTTAAGACTTTTAAGGTGAGTCGACTGGCGCCAAAGTTCCTAAAATTGCCGTCAGAGTTCCTAAAATCGCCGTAAACATTTTTGCGTTTTAATTGTTTCTGGCATGGAAAATTTGCGCGGATGCTCCGTTACGAGACTGCATGAAAGACGCATCTATAAATAGCTGCACTTGTCGATATTGATTGTACCCTTTTACCTTATTGCTATCCAGAGCAGGTTACCCATTGAAAGGGGTCCCCTTTCACAATACGGGTCAGACTATTGTGGAGTTGTTTTTGATTAACTGGTGAAATGATTTTACTGCCTGAAAACGTATACTATATAAGCCCCGAAACCCGATCGATCCAACAGTTCAAATCGAACATTCAATCCGAGTCTTTTAAGAATGAAGTTCATTTTGGTTTTGGCTTGTCTGGCCCTTTATGTGGCCCTCATCTCTGCCCAGAACAACTGTCGTGGCCGTCCCGGTAAGTTAAGATCATTTTATTCTAGAGCCTAACTTATGGGACAATATTTCCATGTTTCTGTAGCGCGTCAGCTATGCACTGGCGGCCGGAATGAAGGACACAGACGTCATAGATCGTGTCAAGCGAGCTTCATGCCCGAAATGTGGTGGTACAACGCACGCGTCAGGGACTGCCAGAAGATGAGGTATTTGGGCTGTGGTGGCAACAACAACCGCTACTGTTCCCTAGCCAGCTGTCGCCGTCAGTGCAGACGCCGATAGGTTCCGGTATCCGACCCGACCCGTCCTGATGCTGATTCTGTCTTGATCTTGTGTCATTTTTAACGATACTTAAGTAAAATAAATAATTCACTCTGCAGCTGACACTCTGTTAATTGGGATTTGCTTAGTTTTAGGTGTTTAATTTTTTATTTCACGTTACGTTCTCCAGCTCATGTAAAATATTAATATTCTGTACGACAGAATTTCTATAACTTTCTTATGATGAACCGAAACAGCGCGACAGTAGCTGTAGTTGTAGACCGATGTGAATGTATCAACTTTGTGTTCGATGGTGGTCTGTTGGTTTTTGTCCAAGTGAACCTTAACCAGCTGGGAGCCGTCCAGCTTGACGCGGATGCGCTTTCCAACGATCTCGGCAGGGAAGACCAGATCCTCCAGAATGGCATCGTACACAGCCGTAAGGGTACGAGAGCGTGGACGCTTTTGTTTCAGGGGATTGCGTGCCTTGCGTGTGGGCTTGGGCAGAATCTTGCGCTCTCCAATGACTACGACGTGCTTGCCGGAAAACTTCTTCTCCAACTCACGGACCAGAATGATTTGGCTCTTCTGGAACACCTTCTGCTGGGGAATGGGCACGTAGATGATGACGGCCTTCTTGCTGCTTGATAATCTTGGAGCCGATAGCCATCTTTGTCGACTATTTTGACGAAAAATATATCGATCATACATATGTAAATATTACTACAGAACACTGCAATGCGGCCACACTTTCCTTAAGCTCCTTAAGCTTTTTGTTCGGTAAACTTAGCTGCCTGGAAAATGGTTGGGGTTCGGATTGGATTTTCGATGCAGAAAACCACATTGATTGATGCCTCTTTTCCCCCACTTGATTCGAAGCAACTTTAGCTACTTTTAAGGTATAAAAGACCCTCTGGAGTTACCATCCGTAAAATCAGGCATTGTTCCGGATATCCGAAAAAGTTATTTTTTACTCAAGGATGCGTCTGGATTTTACTGGCCACCTGTGCTGAAAAGTGTGTAAAGTACAACAAAAATATCTCAGTCTGACACAAGCTGGCGGCTTGCAAAACCAAGCATAGATGGCGCTGTATGTGCTCATTGGAATAATTTGTTGAGCAGAGCTCTTATTCGGCTAATCAATTGCAAATTATATCATAACATTCCGAAACGTTCTTTAGCCTTAAACTTTCAATATACACCCAGTATTTGTAAAGTGCAGGGGTATATATAGATAAAAAAAGGGGATCTTCCTCGAGAACCCCTATCAGCTGCTTCGATTCTTACAAGCACATATCCGTAGGTTCGCATTAAAGGTTGTAGATTCCTCGCTAGTCTGTCGGAGCCTTTCTTACTTAATCCCTAACTAATTAGTTAATCCTTACTTAATCCTAACTATTTCGCACAGCACCTTTCCTTTGGGGAGATCATCTTCAGGGAGATGGAAAGGCACCCAAATCTCATTGCCCAGATCTCAGCCACAGAGAAGACGGTGCTGACCAGGGCAGAGGTTCGTCTCAATGCGATACGAGTGGTTAGCTATATGCGGGGACTTGGCTTAAAGCAAACTGATATTGTGGGCCTCATAGCCAGGAGCACTACGCATCTGGTGGCCGTGGCCTATGCCTGCTTCTTCAATGGGATGCCGTTCCACAGGAAACCATTAAGAAGCTTTTCTGAATCACCAGACCCCGTCTGATCTTCTGCGATGGAGATGAGTATGAGAGCGTTCTGACGGCAACCGAAACCCTCAAGCTAGAGGAGCTGGTCAGGAGGGTCCACTTGCTGTCGAGCTTGCAAGCTCAACCTTGAACTGTTCGAAGTCTGGACAAGGTTTGTTGAATGCTACTACTGCTCCAGTTGTTCCCATACGAAAGGCAACCACCCTGGCTCGTTGGGGTAGAGCTTCGACAGCAGGAGGCTGCGGTGATGCCAGCTGGAATAGTGCAAAAGTCCAGCTCCTGCTCGGCAGGCACGGCCGCCTTGGCTGTCACTTAGCGACGGTAGTCCCAGGTGTACAAATTTCGATCATCGTATTTCAGATAATTTCAGAGCTGCACCTCCGCTCCCAGCCTGCCAGGGGATTCTGCTCCACTGTCCAGCAGGCTTTGCCGCCGACTCTGCTTCTGCCTGCACCTCGTCGGACTTGCTGGACTCTGTCGCTGGCTCCGCGTACTTTCACACGTCCATTCATCGTATTTTGTTAGCAAATTAAATATTAATAATAAACTGACTAGTGTGACCGCGGAGCTGTTGATTAAATATACCAAAATATACCATTTCGTTTAAAACATATACCGTAAATATACCGTTGTCTTAAATCATATTCCTCGATTTGGATGTTCTATATGATATTACTAGCTTGCAAAGACTTTTAACACTAAAGCAATAATTTAATCTATTTTAAAAATCAATTTGTCTTATAACAAATACTCCATTTATTAAATTGCATACTTTATGACCCTATATTTTACAAATTTGTATTGGAGTCTTTCATTCAAATCAACCCTTCTGGGAGCTTTGTCTTCAGTATGTAAATGTATGTAAATTATTAAAAGAGACACATGTATGTTAAGCTGATAACATTGAAAAATTAGAAATATAGCGATCGCAATACAGGGTGATAAAGAAACATAAGTAAATATTATCAGCTGGTTGGTGGCCACTTCTTCTATCGTCACAACTAATTACTCCTTTCATTTGCTAAGGAACACTCGATAATGATGAAAAAATCATCATTATCGTCTAACTAATCACAAATTTCTTTGATTTTCTTTCTTTTCTTTTATTTGAATATACTCTCACCTACAACAGATGGACCTCGACGGAGGCTCCAGCCCATCAACATGGTACCTGTCTCAAAAATTGATACCCCTGTGCATCTAACTTCGGACTCAGTTGCCAGTGATGTCACCCACAACAGCTATAAACAACTATAAACAATAAATATTAATCTATTAATATATTTATATTCAGTTAAAAGAAAATTTCGGTGGTCCGTCGATCCCGTCATCACTCACACTGCAACGTGATACCATACATTTATCCTGACATTAAAATCCAATCGGCTTCCTCTAGCCACATACAAATGTTGCTCAAACTGAAATGATTGTATACTTTTCAGATGCAATATTAAACTCTTATCCACGCCTTGAATAGAATCTTAAGAGAATACTTATACTAGAATACTTAAGACTTTTAAGGTGAGTCGACTGGCGCCAAAGTTCCTAAAATTGCCGTCAGAGTTCCTAAAATCGCCGTAAACATTTTTGCTTTTTAATTGTTTCTGGCATGGAAAATTTGCGCGGATGCTCCGTTACGAGACTGCATGAAAGACGCATCTATAAATAGCTGCACTTGTCGATATTGATTGTACCCTTTTACCTTATTGCTATCCAGAGCAGGTTACCCATTGAAAGGGGTCCCCTTTCACAATACGGGTCAGACTATTGTGGAGTTGTTTTTGATTAACTGGTGAAATGATTTTACTGCCTGAAAACGTATACTATATAAGCCCCGAAACCCGATCGATCCAACAGTTCAAATCGAACATTCAATCCGAGTCTTTTAAGAATGAAGTTCATTTTGGTTTTGGCTTGTCTGGCCCTTTATGTGGCCCTCATCTCTGCCCAGAACAACTGTCGTGGCCGTCCCGGTAAGTTAAGATCATTTTATTCTAGAGCCTAACTTATGGGACAATATTTCCATGTTTCTGTAGCGCGTCAGCTATGCACTGGCGGCCGGAATGAAGGACACAGACGTCATAGATCGTGTCAAGCGAGCTTCATGCCCGNCTTATCCACGCCTTGAATAGAATCTTAAGAGAATACTTATACTAGAATACTTAAGACTTTTAAGGTGAGTCGACTGGCGCCAAAGTTCCTAAAATTGCCGTCAGAGTTCCTAAAATCGCCGTAAACATTTTTGCGTTTTAATTGTTTCTGGCATGGAAAATTTGCGCGGATGCTCCGTTACGAGACTGCATGAAAGACGCATCTATAAATAGCTGCACTTGTCGATATTGATTGTACCCTTTTACCTTATTGCTATCCAGAGCAGGTTACCCATTGAAAGGGGTCCCCTTTCACAATACGGGTCAGACTATTGTGGAGTTGTTTTTGATTAACTGGTGAAATGATTTTACTGCCTGAAAACGTATACTATATAAGCCCCGAAACCCGATCGATCCAACAGTTCAAATCGAACATTCAATCCGAGTCTTTTAAGAATGAAGTTCATTTTGGTTTTGGCTTGTCTGGCCCTTTATGTGGCCCTCATCTCTGCCCAGAACAACTGTCGTGGCCGTCCCGGTAAGTTAAGATCATTTTATTCTAGAGCCTAACTTATGGGACAATATTTCCATGTTTCTGTAGCGCGTCAGCTATGCACTGGCGGCCGGAATGAAGGACACAGACGTCATAGATCGTGTCAAGCGAGCTTCATGCCCGAAATGTGGTGGTACAACGCACGCGTCAGGGACTGCCAGAAGATGAGGTATTTGGGCTGTGGTGGCAACAACAACCGCTACTGTTCCCTAGCCAGCTGTCGCCGTCAGTGCAGACGCCGATAGGTTCCGGTATCCGACCCGACCCGTCCTGATGCTGATTCTGTCTTGATCTTGTATCTTTTTTAACGATACTCATGTAAAATAAATAATACACTCTGCAGCTTACATTTGATCGTGGCTTATACACTGCAATGCGGCCACACTTTCCTTAAGCTTCTTAAGCTTTTTGTTCGGTAAACTTAGCTGCCAGGAAAATGGTTGGGGTTCGATTTTCGATGCAGAAAACCACATTGATTGATGCCTCTGTTCCCCCACTTGATTCGAAGAAACTTTAGCTACTTTTAAGGTATAAAAGACCCTCTGGAGTTACCATCCGTAAAATCAGGCATTGTTCCGGATATCCGAAAAAGTTATTTTTTACTCAAGGGTGCGTCTGGATTTTACTAGCCACCTGTGCTGAAAAGTGTGTAAAGTACAACAAAAATATCTCAGTCTGACACAAGCTGGCGGCTTGCAAAACCAAGCATAGATGGCGCTGTATGTGCTCATTGGAATAATTTGTTGAGCAGAGCTCTTATTCGGCTAATCAATTGCAAATTATATCATAACATTCCGACACGTTCTTTAGCCTTTAAATTTCAATATGTTTTTGAAATATTTATATTATAATATACTATTATCGAGAGGGGATCTTCCTCGAGAACCACTATCAGCTGCTTCGATTCGTCGCTATTTTGTCGGAGCGTTACTTAATCCCTTCTATAAAAGGGATCGAGAAATTGAATTGCCAGCAGTTGAAACTAACAGCTCGGAGAATGCCGTACAAGCCGCAAATCACCTTCGATGACAACAGCAAAGTGTGGAGTGGAGGCGATCGATCTATCTATTTCGCACCGCACCTTTCCATTGGGGAGATCATCTTCAGGGAGATGGAAAGGCATCCAAAGCTCATTGCCCAGATCTCAGCCACAGAGAAGACGGTGCTGACCAGGGCAGAGGTTCGTCTCAATGCGATACGAGTGGCTAGCTATATGCGGGGACTTGGCTTAAAGCAAACTGACATTGTGGGCCTCATAGCCAGGAACACTACGCATCTGGTGGCCGTGGCCTATGCCTGCTTCTTCAATGGGATGCCGTTCCACTCGCTGAACATCTCCTATGAGCAGGAAACCATTGAGAAGCTGTTCAGCATCACCAGACCCCGACTGATCTTCTGCGATGGAGATGAGTACGAGACTCAACACCGACGGTGGCTTTGGGACTTCGACCTACGGTGTTAGTATTGATACGCATCAGTGGGTAACTCAAGAGAAGCATAAGTCCTATAAGACTGGTGTGGGTAACTCCTCTTGAAAGTCGGTAAGGGAGACCTCGTCCCAGGGCTGGTCTGGAACCGGTAAGAAACGAGGAGTCCCTGTTGGGGCGTACCCAAGGCGGTTACTGTAACCAACAGTCAGAATTGCATATTCACCGGCTTGTAAGTCTATCGGAATGGTCGATCCATCCGCTTTTCTACTACTGGCAGTGTTCTCTTCTCGCAGCCTCGTCCCCTCGGATACTGTTCAGTACACGCACAGCACCTTGGACTGGTTTTCGGGCCTCTCCTCCATCATCAACGCTGGAGTGTTCAGCACTACCAATATCGTTGCCGACAACGACTTTGATCCCGCCTTCATGTGTCGCATGATCCAAGAGTACAAAATCGGGTTAGTCTTTCAGTGTCCCTCCCACATGGCAATGCTGGCCAACTGCCCGGAGTTCGATGATGCTGATCTGTCGAGCATCGAGCATTACATTTTCGGTGGCTCCCGCTGCTCCCTCGATATTCAGAATCGATTACGCAGCCGCCTCAAGGGGGAGCTAATCTTTAGCTATTCCATAACAGAACTGAACAGCACTGGCACCTTGAACCCACACTTTGACGAAAAACCCAACTCAGTGGGTCGCCCAGTCCCTGGCAATAAAATGAAAATAGTCAATGAGCAGGGTGTGGCTGTGGGCCCAAATGAAGTGGGAGAAGTGTGCCTCTTCAATGGCCAGCACTGGTCTGGCTATTATGGCGACCCGGAGGAGACGCGTACGATTCGAGACTCTGAGAGATGGTTTCACACCGGAGACGTGGGCTACGTTGATGAGGATGGATTCCTCTTCATAGATGATCGCAAAAAGGACATGCTCAAGTACCAAAACATCATGTACTACCCCAGCGAGATAGAGACAGTCGTCTCGCAGATGCCCAACGTGGCCGAGGTCTGCGTATTTGGCATTTGGAATGCGGTCAATGGCGATGAGGCGGCAGCCTCTGTGGTGAAGCGGCATGGCACCCATCTGCAGGCCCAGGATGTTTCAGACTTTGTAAGGGAACATATCGGGGCCAAGTACAAACAGTTAAACGCTGGCGTCATCATTGTAGATGATCTGAAGCGAAGTGGGAATGGCAAAACGAATCGACGCGCCAACAAGGAGCACTTTCTGAATGTTCAAAGGAGCAATCAGCTTTGAATGCTGTTCCTAGTATAAATCTTTGATTATTATTCCACGTATTGTGTACTTTTGTTTGTAATTAAATCTATGATTGGATTCTTTATCGATTGTGTTACTTCAATGGTTCCGATGCCTTGACGTACTGTGTCCGAACGGCATTGATGGCATCGGGGTTGATGATGAACGTAAAGGTCAGGCCGCAAATCTCCACCAACATGTTGTCCTCGAGTCGTGTCTTGTGGCCCGTCAGCAGGGGTTTGCCCTGCACAAAAATTTCCCGCTTGCCCGCATTGGCAATGAAGATGAGGCCATCGTTGCGCAGCTTAATGGTGCCCTGGAGACGGGACACCTTCTCGGCCGGACCCTCCAGTGCCAGGTTGACATCCACCTGCCAGTCGGAACCCTCCTTGCCGTCGCGCCCAAAGTTGATCTCCGGATGCTGCATCAGAAAGCGCACCCGATGGCCGCACAGACAGGCAATCGTGTTGTTGTCCAGCTCCCGAGGACCACGGCCAGAGTCCACCAGCACGGACATTCGGGATATTTCGTTCTCCAGCAATCGAATGGATCGCTTGTTGCGACGATTCTGAAGCTCCAGCTCTGCCTCCAGGGCCTCGTCGATGGGCTCGTTGACATTCACGTGAAAGGCCTGCGCCTCGGCCTCGGAGAAGCTCTGCAGATAGGGCGCCACCTCGGCTGCCGGGATCACCTGGTCGGGCAGCAGCATATACTTGCACAGATCCTGCCAGTAAAGGTGCAGATGGTGGGCCGTGCGTTCCCGCAAAAAGATGGCCGCATTCTGATCGATCAGCTCCTGAAACTGCGCCAGTGTGGGGTCTTCCGTGCTCTTGATGGTCATGATGAGTTGCTCCTCCGCGGGACTGAGTATCGTGCGGGCCCTAACGGAGGCCGCCGTCTCCGGGTGCAGATTCTCGATGGCCGACATGGCCGTCGCCGAGTCCATGGGCGAGAAGAGCAGCGCCTGCCAGCGCTGGTGCACCTCCTTCAGCGAGAACAGGCACGAGAATTTGCACACACGATGCGCTACCTTGAGGTCATTCACCCTGTCCATGGCCGTTAGCAGGGACAGGTCATCAATGGGCTTCCAGCGGCTAATCATGTGCACCTTTGGCTCTTCATTTTTGCGGCTTTTGCGGCGCTCATTGAGGGCGGCAGCATCGATCTTCGCTCGTGCAACATTCGGTATTGGACGCAACTCCATCATGTTGCCACTGGACGTATCCATTTCCTGCTGCTTCAATTTTGACAGCGACATTTGGGACAGAAATAACTAAAAGGAAAATTCAGACAAGAAGTCTTTCTGCCACACTTGTCCAGAGGTCATATTTACCTTTACTTGGCAGTTGTTCCAATTCGATTTGATGCTCTTCTATTTACTTATGCTGCAAAGTCCCTGTGAAAAAAGTGCTGTAAACTATTGAAAAACTCTCTGGTGTTGTTCAACTATCAAATATTTACCAGAAATAGTGTTGGAAGTAGTTTCTTATCCTCCCATACAGGAAAAGGTTTTTGAAGCCCAAAGTTTTCTTCGCCAGTATGACCAAAGTAGACGACGTGATGCTCTCTGGGTACACTGTTTTGTGTTTTTTTTTGCTAAGGGAAACCCGTTAAAAATTCAAATCTTGTATGAAATGTACAGAAATTGGATAAACATGTGTGTTTATCTCTTTATAAATTGATCAAATGGGTACCGAGTATAAGATTAATGAGCTTTAATATCCATATAATCCATTAATATGTTTCAAATCGTCTTCATTTAATGCTCTTTTCTAGCCATTGATTGTTTCCTTCCTCCTGACTTGATTCTGCCGACAAAAGATAAAACAAATCCATCTTTCGCTTCGAGATTTCAGAATTTAATCGGCTAAGTTCTCTCGTATATTTTCTGCTGATCTGAGTACTCACTGCCAAGTTCTTGAGACAACATTTGTTATCGTTTCTCCCTGATTATTTCGCGCAGAATATTTTGCGCATCTGCATGAAAGTTACAATTAGAACGTCCTAAGATTGAGCCTACAAATTGTACAGTTTGTGGTACACCTGGGAAATACACTTGTCTGTAATAGGCTCTGGAAAACAGGGTTTCCACCTTCTCCATAAAATATATTGAGTGGATTGCTGGATTGCCAATGATGATGCAAAATATGGTAAATAAATCGATAGCAATAACAGGAGACTTTTAGGTATTTCTGCTCACTTTAGTTGCAATTCTTAGCTCTTGTTTTTACACTTCAAAAGATTTCGTTAATTCATATCCAATATCATTATCCCATTCACTGCATTTAACGTTCTCTTTTGGTGACCTCCAGGAAGTGTGCCTTGGTTGCATGTCGATTGGTTTTCCCATTGGCACTGCGCTGCAGATCATCCACAATTATGGCTCCTGCATTCAGTTGCTTGTACTTGGCATCAACGGAGGCTTTGACGTAGTCCACAACATCCTGGGCGTGCAGATTGGTTCCGTGTCTCGTTACCACGGAAGCTGCGGCCTCATCGCCATTGACCTCATCCCACACTCCGAAGACACAGACCTCGGCCACGTTGGGCATCTGGGAGATGATAGTCTCTATCTCGTTGGGGTAGTACATGATGTTGTGGTACTTGAGCATGTCCTTTTGTCTATCAATTATGTACAGAAAGCCATCATCGTCCATGTAGCCCAGATCCCCAGTGTGCAGCCACATCTGGGCGTCCTGAATGATGCGAGTCTCCTCTGGGTTCCCGTAGTACCCCGACCAATTCTGGCCATTATGGAAGCAGACTTGACCCGTTTCATTTGGTCCTAGGGCCTCGTCCTGTTCATTGATTATCTTTAGACTGATGCCCCGAATCGGCCGTCCCACGGAGTTGGGCTTCTCGTCAAAGTGAAGATTTGTGCAGCCCACGCTGTTCAGCTCTGTCACCGCGTAAGCAAAGTGCAGGCAGTCGTGGCTAAGGCGACTACGAATCCGGCTCTGCACCTTCAAGGAGCAGTTGGATCCGCCATAAATGTAGAACCGAACACTGGACAGATCAGCTTCATCGAACTCCGGACAGTTGGCCAGCATGGCCATGTGGGAGGGACATTGAAAGATGAATGTGATCTTGTACTCCTCGATCATGCGACACACGAAAGCAGGATCGAAGACATTGTCGGCAATAATGCTTGTTACGCTGAATACCCCAGCGCTTATGATGGTTATAAGACCCGAAATCCAGTCCAGTGTGCTGTGAGTATACTGCACATCATTGGAGCTTAGATGACTGTGACGGAATAAAATATATACTGAATAATTTAACAATAATAATAATAATCTACTTACAAAAAGGTCAAGAGAATCTGTTGACTGTTGGTTACAGTAACCGCCTTGGGTACGCGGCAACAGGGACTCCTCGTTTCTTACCGGTTCCAGACCAGCCCTGGGACGAGGTCTCCCTTACCGACTTTCAAGAGGAGTTACCCACACCAGTCTTATAGGACTTATGCTTCTCTTGAGTTACCCACTGATGCGTATCAATACTAACACCGTAGGTCGAAGTCCCAAAGCCACCGTCGGTGTTGAGTCTCGTACTCATCCCCATCGCAGAAGATCAGTCGGGGTCTGGTGATGCTGAACAGCTTCTCAATGGTTTCCTGCTCATAGGAGATGTTCAGCGAGTGGAACGGCATCCCATTGAAGAAGCAGGCATAGGCCACGGCCACCAGATGCGTAGTGTTCCTGGCTATGAGGCCCACAATATCAGTTTGCTTTAAGCCAAGTCCCCGCATATAGCTAGCCACTCGCATCGCATTGAGACGAACCTCTGCCCTGGTCAGCACCGTCTTCTCTGTGGCTGAGATCTGGGCAATGAGCTTTGGATGCCTTTCCATCTCCCTGAAGATGATCTCCCCAATGGAAAGGTGCGGTGCGAAATAGTTAGATCGTTCGCCTCCACTCCACACTTTGAGTTTGTCATCGAAGGTGATTTGCGGCTTGTACTGCATTCTACGATCTATCAGTTATCGGTACTGTGTTTGAACTGTTGGCAGTTCGTGGCTATTGTCCCCCTCTTATAGACGTGATTGCAGGAGCACACGCTCCGATGTTCTGGGAAAGAAAACATAATAACCGTACACGTGTGGCCGGTACGAGGGATTTCTGTGATCATCGAAGTAGCGCCAACGTGGGAGAATGCCAAAAATTTAAATTACATTGTGCGCATGTTGAAAGTTATGCAAATGTTTACCGGCTGACGGCTTACAGTTCCTACAGTGTTGGTAAGTAAAGCTTTATATTCCCAAATATTAGAATATATGCTCTATAAAAGGGAACTCAAGCACGATGTGCAAACAGTTTTAATTGTATAACAATATCAGATGGATCCCAGAGTGTCGTATGAGCCACAAATCACCTTCGATGAAAAACTCAAAGTGTGGAGTGGAGGCGATCGATCTATCTATTTCGCACCGCACCTTTCCATTGGGGAGATCATCTTCAGGGAGATGGAAAGGCATCCAAAGCTCATTGCCCAGATCTCAGCCACAGAGAAGACGGTGCTGACCCGAGAAGAGGTTCATCTCAATGCGATGCGAGTGGCTAGCTATATGCGGGGACTTGGCTTAAAGCAAACTGACATTGTGGGCCTCATAGCCAGGAACACTACGCATCTGGTGGCCGTGGCCTATGCCTGCTTCTTCAATGGGATGCCGTTCCACTCGCTGAACATCTCCTATGAGCAGGAAACCATTGAGAAGTTGTTCTGTATCACCAGACCCCGACTGATCTTCTGCGATAGAGATGAGTACGAGACTCAACACCGACGGTGGCTTTGGGACTTCGACCTACGGTGTTAGTATTGATACGCATCAGTGGGTAACTCAAGAGAAGCATAAGTCCTATAAGACTGGTGTGGGTAACTCCTCTTGAAAGTCGGTAAGGGAGACCTCGTCCCAGGGCTGGTCTGGAACCGGTAAGAAACGAGGAGTCCCTGTTGGGGCGTACCCAAGGCAGTCTCGATTACCAACAGCCAACAAATTCTGTGGAGTTGCTCGTAAGTGCAATAAGTCAATCCGAATTATTTGCTTTAACTTCTTCTCTGACTAGTCCCATGGCAATCGACGTTGTCCAGTACTGCCACAGCACCTTGGACTGGTTCTCGGGGCTCTCCATGTGCATCAAGTGCGGAGTGTTCAGCACAACGAGCATAATTGCGGACAACAAGTTCGATCCTGGCTTTCTGTGTCGTATTATCGAGGAGTACAAAGTAACGTTCCTTGTGCAGAGTCCTGCCCAAATGGCGATGCTGGTGGGCTGTCCAGAGTTCGAGAGTGTCGATCTGTCGAGCATTCGGCGTTGTGTCTATGGAGGCACTGCCTGCTCCGTGGAGGTACAGCATCGAATGCGGAGTCGGCTGCAGCAGGCGGATTGTCTGGTCTTCAGCTACAACCTGACGGAGATGAACAGCCTGGGATGCCTGAACCATCACTTTGACGAGAAGCCCAACTCCGTGGGCCGCCCGGTGGGAGGAATCAAAGTGAAGATTACCAATGAGAGTGGCGATGCACTGGGTCCGAGTGCCATGGGTGAAGTTTGTTTCCATATTGGCCAGCATTGGTCGGGCTACTACGGGAATCCCGAGGAGACGCGCACAATGATCGACTCTCAACGATGGCTTCACACCGGGGATCTGGGCTACATGGATCCAGATGGATTTCTGTATCTCGTTGACCGCAAGAAGGACATGCTCAAGTACCAGAGCATCATGTATTACCCAAGCGAAGTAGAGAGAGTCATCTCCCAGATGCCCAACGTGGCCGAGGTCTGTGTCTTCGGGCTGTGGGATGCGATCAATGGCGATGAGGCTGCTGCCGCTGTGGTAAAGAAACCTGGCACCCAACTCTCGTCTCGGCCCAAGATGTTGTGAACTTTGTGAGAGAGCACATCGATGCCACATATAAGCAGCTGAATGCTGGAGCCATCATTGTGGAGGATCTGGCACGAAGTCCGAATGGAAAAATGCATCGAATGGCCACAAAAGAGCACTTTCTGGAGGTCACAAGAGGCAGAGAATTTAATTAAATCCTCTGGGATGATTGAGAAGTACTTAAAGGCAAAATAGGTTGCAAGGGGGAACTACTCAAATGAGCTCCCAATATTCATGTATTCGTAAGTTCCTGCTGATCGCAGGGTTAAATTTGCATTTGAATGTTGAATGTTATTCGTCGTCTGTGCTGGGCTTGTGATGTGTTTCTTCCCAGGCTGGCCTGTTTGACCTGACCCCTGCCTTTGAGGCACT